TGTAGCAATTTAGTAGTTTGTGTTTGGGTATAGTAATAAACTGGCTTATGTTTCATTACATGACTGACTTCATTATAGCAAAACCATGCACACTGTTTCTGTCAATTAAATCCTCATTTACTTTCTCAGGCACTAATTAAGAAGTCCTTATCATTCAGGTAGGGATAAATAATAGAAACAATTACTGTCAGATATAGACATGTTTAATAGGCTTAGACAGCCCACCTGTCTACTTGCGGTGACAACCTTTTACTTCGAGCTTCATAGTCAGAGGCTCAAGGTTTCATGTGAGGGAAGGCAGGCATCAAGACGTAGGAGAGCTGGTGTTTCCTGTCAAACTCTCAGCTAAGCATCTTCGTTGGCCCCATTCCTCTGTGTATTGGCGAGAAGTATGCAGAAACTACTGGAAATGCCACAGAGGAAGTGAAGTTCCTTTATGTACGCAGTATATAAGTTGGCAAAAAATCATGCTAGATGCAGAGCAAATGCATGTGCAGTTTGTCAAGGTTTCCTTAGAAATATGTCAAGCAACTAGATTGGACAACCAGGTTGCTTGTGAGTGTCTCCACATTTTAACTGAGTGGACCATATCATCTACACTGGTCCCTCAGAGTCTTCTTTAGATTCATGTAGACCTCTGTTTTCTTTCAGGCTAACTTTTTTTTTTTTTTCTGACTGCTGGGTGACAAAATTGCTGCTAGTCATCATTCAGACTTTCATAATTCTCTTTCCTGCTTCTACAGTCCAATAGGTTGAAAGGGAGTAAATTGGGGGAATCCATTGTGAATTAGGAGTAAACACCATATGTAGTAATAGAATTCATGCCTCTGTGATGACTATGTTCCATATTCCTATGCTATTTCTCTTCATTACAGAATATTTTTAGCCTTAAAACATACCACTCAACTGGAAACAAAACTCCACCAAAAAGTAAATCTGATAGAATAATGCCCTGATTACTAAGCAATCTGACTCAACTCAGGGCTTTGAGTCTACAGAGAAAATTCAGTAAGTGAGCTCACCAAGACATATTTAAATTACTTAACAGATTTTTGTTAAAAATAGGAATGCCATCCTTGGGAATTTCAACTATAAAGAATGCCTTTAAATATACCTATGATTTTTTTTTTGTATTTGTACAAGAGGGGAGGGGCAAGGATTTTTAGTGTAAGAATTTGTATATTGTTACAAATATCTGAATGATAGTTTAGATATAACTTTAGTGACAGCCTTAAAGTGAGCAATTCTTAAAACATGGTTGTGGATATTCAATTACATATAGATGCTAAGAAAGGACAATATTGATAGAAGAGAATGCAGGGAAGATTGCTACAATGTGAAACAGTGGACATTTATTTATTATATAGCAAAATAAAACAGATGAAGGAATTTTAGCTTTCCCTGCCCCTTTTCTTTCAACTCACTAGTTCTGTCTTAGTAAACAACCCTTTTCAGAACAAAATACAGAGGTCAGAACCAGAGCACTACAGTTAGTTAGATCTGGTTTCAAATTGGCCAACAGTGAGCACTTCCTGAGAAATACAAAACTTTTCTGAGTCTCAGTCCCCGCATCTATAAAATTAAGAGAAATTAAGGACTTACTGGGTTGTAGTAAGAAATGTCATGTACTCTGTGCTGGGCACTTTTCTAAGTATATTACATGTAATCCACTGAATTTTCATGACAGTCTTGTGAGGTAGGACCTGGTATAATTCCTCTTTTTTCAGATGAGAAAAATGAGAGACAAAGAGGTTTTGTAATATTCCTAAATTAAAGAACACATGATGTATGAGATTTGAACCTAAGCTTTCTGTCTCCAGAGTCTAAGCAATTAGCCACTATGCTATAATAATGAGTATTCAGTATGGTATCCAGAATGTAGTGAATGGCCCATAATTGTTAGCGTTGGATGCTATCACTAGTAAGTCCTTAAGGCTCATAAATAATACCCTCATTCATTTCCCAAATTCAGAATCAATTAAAAGTTAAATATAAGTATTAGATGGGGATCAGAATATTACTGACAAACTCATGCAAAACGTGGCTTTAGAGTTGCAGCTAAGTAAGTGTGATAACATCATATTCCTGAATTAACTTGATTCCCCATTTGGAACTCTGACAATTCAAGGAACTCCCAAAAGGGACAGTCTTCTCCCACACAACAGAGAGGGAAACAGAATGCATGTGTTCTGTGAACAATGCCAATGGTTTTCAGCCATACCTATGTGGCTCTTTTTTTTTTTTTTTTCCAACTCTCCATTCAGATAAGACCATCCTCTTCTCCTGAGGAGTGAGTGAGAGTTGGGGAGCAAGGCCTCAGCTGATGTCCCTCCCCTGGAAGTGGAAGGTCAGGATTTCCTCTCTCCCAAACCAACAACAGATTGTTTGTAGTGCCAACCTTGTTCTGCTGTTGTTTTTATTATCTGCCAATAAGTGGCAGACATAATAAGATGCAGAAGTATGCCCTTGCTCCTCAGCCAGAGCTGAGAGCTGCTAGGAAGGAGATGACATTGATCCTGTCTTAAGCATAGATGCCTCTAGATTTGCTGAGATGCTGGCCCAGCTGAAAGAAGAACTGTGCTTCGCTGCATGGCTGCCTTTGGTTGTCTTAAGCAAGGTAGGATCACTACCCTTACAGGATTGCAGATTTCAGGTGTGGTGGGGAGGACTCTTGCCCCACCTAGAAGTAAAGGAAGGAAAAGAAGAGTGATCATCTTACATGCTCTTCTGTGATAGAGCTGGGAGTAAACCCCACAGGATTGGGACCCACTGTGCCAGGAATTTACCTGACCTAGCTACCTCTAATTTCATGTCCTATGTAAAACTTCCCTCGGGATTAAATCAGGATTCTGATGCGTGGAAATGTTCAGTAAGTGTGAAATAAAAAACTCATCATTTTTAGAAAGGTAGAACCTAACTTTATAGAGATTACTTGAATATGTGACTAGGGCTAGTAAAGAGAGAATGAAAAAGAATGATTTTTTCCTAAGTCAAGTCCATACCAATATGGAAGAGCTCCCAAGACAAAAGAACATTGGTCTTTTGAATAATGTCTTAGAAACTCCTGAAAACTCCCACCTACCCATCTGACATACAGAAATGTTTTTCTTTTTTTTTTTCAGAAGAAGAAATTTAATACAGCCCACATAGACTCTACAAATTATATTTTTGCAGTTGTTTCTTGAACTATTTTTTCCTTTAAGAATTTCTTGTGGATTTGTATATAATCCACTGTACAAATAATTTAGAAATACTTAATTATTGTTCCACTTTAAAAAGTATTGTTTATTGGATATCTACAAAAAATGAATATTTTACATGTCTGATTCCAAGTGTTAAAATTATAAAAGAGGATTTATACCACTCTCTAGGCTCTCTGATATCACAGAGATGATCATAAAGCATACAGCTTCCTAAACAATTAGTCTGGCCCTGCACACTTTCTGAAATCCATTTGCACAGTTGGGCAATTGAGATTTGTCTGTCTCTCTCTCTGTCTTCCAGTAGTTCTCACCCTACACAGAAAAACAAGACAGATATCACAGGGGTGTTTTAGGTAGGACAACAAACAGGTGCACAGCAGACAGGGTTGGAACACCTAATTAAAAGGATTCAAGAACGGTAAACTCCCAGTGCCTTCTCCTGATGATACTATAGAACGATCGAGCTGGCCCTCTAGGGAAGGATAATGGACCGGAACTGTTGAAATGTTGAATCTGTGTCTCAGATAAAGTAAGTGACTACTAAAACTGGGAGAGGGCAGTGGACAGAGGGAGAGCAGACTGACATTATGAAAGGCAAGGAAGAGGGAGCTCTAGAGGGGGTTGGACTGAACAAAGGATGAAATAGAGATGTTACCCAAGAATCTGTCAGTTCACACTTCACAGATGAACTCAATTTATAAATCTGCAAAAGGCAATGGTCCAGAAACCTTTTCCCTAAAGCTCAAGGGGAACATGTTTAGAAAAAGCCTTCACTGTGATACTGAGCATTGGAAAGGTTCTCTCTGATTTAAGAAAACTAGGATGAAAGTGAAGATGAAGTAGAGATTTTGGAGAATGTTTTGGACACATTATTGGCACCAAAATATATTTTTAAAAGATTTTATTTATTTATTTGACAGAGAGAGAGAGACAGTGAGAAAGGGAACACAAGCAGGGGGAGCGGGAGAGGGAGAAGCAGGCTCCCGCGGAGCAGGGAGCCTAATGCGGGAATCGATCCAAGGACCCTGGTATCATGACCTGAGCCAAAGGCAGACGCTTAACGACTGAGCCACTCAGATGCCCTGGCATCAAAACTATTTTATCCACAGGTTGATTTTTTTAATACTGATAGTGCCTTTTTCCCTAATGAGGTCTATAGCAGAATGGAAACTGTTTTCCAACATATTCCATTTTAAAAATTTTAAAAATATTTTAGAGCACTTTTAGGTTCACAGCAAAATTGAGAAGTAGGTACAGAAATTTCTCATATACCTTCTGCCCTTACACATGCATAGCTTTGCCCATTATCAACATCACTCACTAAAATGATACTTTCTTAAAAAGATTTTATTCATTTATTTATTTGAGAGAGAGCACGAGTGGGGGGAAGAGCAGAGGGGGAGGGAAGGAAAGGGGGAAAGAATCTCAAGCAGACCCTACACTGAGTGTGGAGTTGGATGCGGGGCTTAATCTCATGATCCTGAGATCATGACCTGAGCCAAAACCAAGAGTCAGACACTTAACTCACTGAGCCACCCAGGCACCCCAAAATGATACAGGTTTTTATGAAGGATGATCCTATATTAACTCATCATGATTACCTCAGTTCTATAGTTTACCTTAGGATTCACTCTTGGTGGTGTACATGCGATGGGTTTGGAAAAAATGTATAGTGACATGTGTCTATCACTGTAATAGCATACATAGTATTACCACTTCCCTAAAAAATCCTCTGTGCTCTGCCTATTTATCTCTCCACTAACCCCCATAACCGCTGCTCTTTTTATTGTCTCATAGGTTTGCCTTTTCAAGACTGTCCTATTGTTAGAAGAATACAATTTTCGTAGCATTCCTTTTTTTGCCTGTGGGCTTGTTAACATGTCATCTCTCTCCACAAGGTATTTCTAGCTAACTTTGCCCAGAACATTTCTTTTTTTCTTTTTCTTTCTTTTTTTTTTTTTTTTTAAGATTTTATTTATTTCTTTGACAGAGAGAGACACAGCGAGAGAGGGAACACAAGCAGAGGCAGAGGAAGAGGGAGAAGCAGACTCCCGAGCAAGGAGCCTGATGCAGGGCTTGATCCCAGGACCCTGGGATCACGACCTGAGCCGAAGGCAGATGCTTAACGACTGAGCCACCCAGGCGCCTCCCCACCCCCCGTCCAGAACAACACCCAAGTCAAAATCTACCCCCTCGACCAAAGTCTGTCTCTCTTCTTGTCTATCCTTATCTCCTCTGAGCACTCCCTGTTTACAGTTCCCTCTGGTTTGATGTTATACACTAGAGTTTGTTATCTGTTAGTGCATTTCAATAATTTCATAACACCAATTTTGACTCCCCAGCTAGACTATGGGCTATACAAAGGCAGCAGTCAGCATCTCACAGTTCTCTTTTACCTTTCATAGTATTTACCTTGGCACTCAGCGCATAAACAGTGTTTTAGAAATAACTGTTGGTTGATTGAGAATCTTCCCTGAATAATATTAAAGATTTTACCAATGAGAGCTTGAATTACTTATTCTCTCTGAGAAACACTTTGCAGATTAGAGAAGACGAAAATACTCATCCTCTTAAGCAGCAAGAGCTTGCCTTCTCTCTAATTATTATAAATCATAGCCTGAACATTTAAACTATTCAGGATTTCAGTTTTTTCCCTGACTTCCTCCAGCATGAAATCCAATCAAGCATTTGCTTGCTGCTATTCCTATACTCGCCTCCAAGCACCCATTGTAATGTATATGCTAATTGTCATTATGTTTAATGATGTCTTCAAGTTGTTTTTAATACAAAGTTGCTTTAATACAACTCATTTTTAATACAGAGCTCTAGGTAAGCATGGCATATCCCATTATTTATAATTGCATCCATTATTTTGCCACTAGCTTCCAAAAACAATTAAACCCATTCCTGATAGGGAATCAGACAGCATTGACCTATTGCAATCTACAGAGAATGGTCCTCTCCTTTAACCTTGTCCTGAATCCAGCTGCCCTCTTCTCTGACAGCTGGAAAACACAAAGCTCTTAGTGATGTATTTATCTCTCACGTCCCACCGGAATGTGAACCCCATGCTCCCCTTTCTCTGTGGTGCTGTCAGTCTTGGCATTAGGCAGTGGGAGGACCCCTCACCCTCTTTTCAACCAGGTATCTGTATATGAAACCTGACTATGGGATTACTTTTTTTTGTCTGCTGTGATATTTTCTTTAATTCTGATGTCATTTGGGCCACTTCAATTTCTTCCTCAAACTAATAAATTTCTAGTTGCCCAAGCTTTAGTTCTAAATACATATTTTAGAGTGTTTTAGCAGTTGAGTCTAGGATGAGCTTTAAATTCCTCTGATACATTGTCCCTCTAGCTATGAATTTCTTGTCCGAAAGGCTTTCTGGAGGGTTGAAATCAGTATCTATCATCTGCCGTTAACTCAGAAGCTTTGCCTACACCCTCTGTTTTTTCTCTGTTAATCTTATATGCTGAACAATATTGCTTGCCTCTGGCTATCTCTTATTTCCCAGGTTGACCCACATTTTTTATTAAAACTCAGGATTTGAGAATTCTTTTGGGGACTGTAATTATTTCTACATGATTGTTTCTCTATTCCCAGTGTAGGTCACTTTTTATCTTGCACTGCAGTTATCCAAATAAATTCTATTTTGCTATTTAGGCCTTTGAATGAAATATACCTTCCCTTATTAATTTCTAAAAGTAGCATCAGAACTAAGGAAATTTGTGGTTACTTAATATGGAGCTTAGATTTCTGGCAACTTCAAACTTCTGGACAGAGCTGTGCACTGGGATGTTAGGCAAACACCCTATAGGATTTTCAAACATCTTAGCGGCATCATTCTTAGATCATGCCAATGATCTCAAGCCACCAACATAAAGTTCTTTATGTCCAGCAGATTGGGTTTAATAATGCAATAAAGTATTAATATGTTTAAAAATGTTTTCCATTGTAAGTGATTATAGAATCTTAAAGTTAGAATTACCATGTGAATAGAAAAGCTACCCTTCTTAAGCCTCCAATTTTGGACAGGTACTTAACATATATGATCTCATTAAATCCACCCAAAAAGGTAGATGTTATCTTCCTGATTTCACAAGTGAGGAAATGATGTCTCTGAGAAGAGTAAGTATTTGCCCTGCTTATCTGCACAGAAAGTTAATGTCTTTGTATAGGTATCTAAGCTCCTTAGGAAAAGATTACCCAGATACTGTCTCAATGTGCCCTGAGAGTTTTTCTCTTTATATTTCTGGGCTTTTAAAATTCCTTTTCAGAATTATTTAGCAGTTAGACCACTTTGCATAATCCTCATAAGACAGAGAACTTTGTCTTCTAAATAGAAATAAAAGGTCCTGGCTGTTTGATGCTAACAGTTCTCTACACCTGTTGTCCCTCTAATAGGCTAGTAAAGATAAGGTGTGGGAAGGAGCAGTGTTCTTTTAGTGTGGTTCCTCTTAAGAACCTTCTAACCTCATTATGGACCTTTGAGCTTTATTTTATTTCTTGATGAGATTGGGCATATGAAGTGTCAAGAACTCAAGTTTTCTATAGTTAATCAAAGCCTGCTTATTGAAATGTGTGTGTGTGTGTGTACATATACATATACATGTGAAGAGAGAGAGAAATAAAGATTGAGAAAGAGGCAGAGAGAAACTCTTGACTTCCATAACTAAGCCATTGCCTATTAAAATCAGTACTTTAACATCCAGAGTATTTCTCCTATAGAATCTGATTTGATAAGAAATAATTCTGACATATGAATCCACAAATTGAGGGAAATATGTATATAGTTGACCAGTGAACAACATGGGTTTGAAATGTATGGGTCCACTTATAAACAGATATTTTTGGATAAATATGGTACATTACTGTAAATGTGTTTTGTTTTCCTTATGATTTTCTTAATAACATTTTCTTTTCTCTAGCTTACTTTATTGTAAGAAGATAGTATATTATATATATCATACAAAGTACATGTTAATCAATTATATTATTGATCAGGTCGATAGGCTATTAGTAGTCAAGTTTTTAGGTAGTCAAAATATTTTAGAAAACTTGCCATTGTAACTTCTTTCTTTGCTCCTGGGAGATGTGACTCTTCTCTCAGCCTGTGAGTTTATAGTCCAGGAAAAGTTTTTCTCAAGGACCTAGGAACTATCTCTTTGAAATGTAAACACAGAGGGAGATAGTACCCCATCTCCCAGTGTCTGGATGTCAGGAGCCTATCTTCGATGGGTACCAATTAGCAAACACAGATGACATAATCACAGAAAAAAGCAGTTGCTAACTCAGTAATAACTCAATGTTGTAATAACAAGACACATCCCATTGATCAACCTCTCCCCACAACCACCAGTACTTTGCTCCTAGCTCACCCCAGCACCTAAAAACCTCCCACCTTTTGTATCAGCAGAGCTGAGTATCTATGCTCTGCCTCATATTGCTGGGTTTTGGTGGTACTGGAATAAAATCAACATCTGCCTGCTCATGTGGTCCTGAGTGACTTCTCTTTAACAATACCTGTACCACCTGCCAATATTAATGTCTTAAGAGTGATTTTGCACCATGAAAAAGGTAGGATGATGCTTTTTTTGCAACCAGTTTTAAAAAGCAAATCTATCTCATTTTGGAGAACTCGCAACCTTTATAAAGGCATTTAAATCAAATTTGCCTGTGGGTGAGGAATGTGGGAGTATATATATGTGAATGTGTGTGTGTTTTTTATTTTAAGTTTCAAACTCCATTCAGGTTTACTTTTATTTTTTTATTGTTATGTTAATCCCCATACATTACATCATTAGTTTTAGATGAAGTGTTCCATGATTCA